AATAATGAATATTATTATTAATCAAAAATCAATACAAAAGTAATTATTTATAATAATTAATATTGATTAATTACTAATAGCCAAAAAAAATTATCGATTAACTAACATGATAGTAAATTGTTTAGTAAACTTTCGATTCTGATTTGTTTAGTAACTTTCTGATTAACTTCATTCGCCTTAAGTTTGCCAACGCAAACTATTTTCTAAGAGGTTCCGTAAACTCAGTGTTACATTTATACATGCTTTTCCTTCAACAAATTTTCCAAGTTCCATCAAAATTCTATATCTTTTATATGTGATTTTCTGCAAGAAACATATTTAAAGAAATCGCCTTAAAGCAGTTGGTTTTGATGGCCTCTGTGAACTGCGCACACTTCCAATTTTAAAGTGTTGCACAGCCGGCACTTAAGCTTAGCACCCACAAGCTGGGCCAGCTGGGAGACGAGGGCTGGAGCTGCCGGGCCCTATGGGAAGCCGTTGAAAAGTTCTATTAAATGAAATAAATGCCGCTCGGCGTCTGGTCAAGTGTGTCCTGTGTCCTGGCTGAGGACGTGGCAGCGCCACGCTACATTGAACAATTATGTGAAATTCGAGGCAGGAATTTGTTCGCTTATAGTATATATACGTGTGTGGGTGAGTGTGTTTATATATATGTGTGTGTGTGTGTGTTTGTCTCTCACCTTAATGCTATTGCCATTGGGCCGATGCTTGTCGACATTGCCGCCCAGCGTGTTCGGATTGAAGCTATATTGGAATGCGTCGAGCACATTGCTGCCGCGTGCTCGCTTCGTGCGTGACACGATGAACAGGATGATGGCGACGAGCAGTATAATTATTGTGGTTAGAACAACAATGACAACGCCAATGAAGTTCGCCTCGTTCGGCTCCTGATCGATGGGACGCGGCGCAATTACTGCAAAACCAGAAGAGAATACAAATAATCGTTAAGCGACAAGGTGAATCAACAGAGGACGCCAAATGCAAAGTGCAACAAATGGAATTGCAATGGAATTAAAAGTAAATATTGTTCAACTAAAATAATTAGCAAAGAGGCCGAATGAAACAGAGATAAAAAATTAAAATACAAAAATAAAAAACAACAGAAAATTGCTAATTGAATTTATCAGGTGACGTTGCTGCTTACGTTGTGGCCCATTGTTGTAGTTGTTGTTGCCGCTGGCATCAGTGGCGCCGCCGTTTGTGTCGCCGCCAGAGTTGCCGCCGTTCAGCTTATTTTTGCCATGTTGATTGTGCTGATAGTCGTTGCTCTGCAAAGGATATTCACGTGTATCCGGCGCGTTGCCCGGCGCGTTGTTACGCTGCTCCTGTTCGTCTGTGAAATTTCCCATGGCTGGTACTGCAATGGAGAAAAGGAGGGAGTGAGTAAGAGCGAGTGGTATACAGTTATATGAAGTGCCATTTGTGGCATGAATCTTCAGCTTCATCTTCAAAAGTTGCCGCCATTGCGCACAGCTGCGCTTTCATGATTAGTTTTTTCTACTTCTTCTTCTTCTTCTCCTTCTTTTTATGTCGCCCTGCACACCTTTCGTTCCACTTTAAATTGTTTTGCTTTCGCTACGCTTTTCTTTCGAGACCTCTAACGTGTTCATTTCCTGTCCAACCTTTAGGGTTTCTCTGTTTTTTTTCGAATGTCTCGTCTCGAGCATTACTAAATTTTTACAGATGTTTGATTTGAACGCGTGTCTTATGAATATGCATGGTGTTGTTTTAATGATCTTGTGCATATGGCGCGACAATATAGGTTCTTGGCAATAACTATAACAGTTTTCTTTTTTTACCTACCCAAAATGTAGAAAATCTACTACGTTACCCATATATTATGCGCTATAGCAGCGTTGTTCACTTTTCGCCTAGGTTTTCACACATTTTTAACTTTCTCTTTTATTCTAGTGACTAGTCAAAGAAGTAGTAGTGCTGTAGCAACCCTATATCTTGAGTTACATTAGGTTTCTAATGCTATGGAGCATGCTTTGTCTAAGGCTTAGCATGCATATTATGATTTCTAAATGTCTTTTTCCACCCTCAGTTGAGTTGTGCTCCGGCTTAACAATCTGACAACATAAACATCGCCAGGCTGACCTTATTCCCAGGGCTATTCCGCTTATTAGCTCAGATCTGTCAGGCGCTGCTGCAGGCCGTGCAATACCAAACACCTGCTTGTCAGGCCGTTCACTTTGATCTCTAATAACCACCGGCGCACAGGCTTAGAGCATATGGCTCGGCGCTGCAAAGTGTTGTCATTTATCTTGGCTCAACATCTTGAGGGCATTAGAAAACAAAGAAGTAACGGACGCACAGCTCCTGCCGGAGGGGATGGGGACAGCTTTTTGCACAGAGACGACGCCTCCGGCTAGCCGAAAAATGCCTTCTTGAGTGGGTGACCCCGTTTCTTCAGACAGTAAATGGCGTAATTACTGTGAGAAGTTGTTGTTGCTGCTGTTCTTGTTGTTGCTACTCTTGTTGTTGTTGTTGTTGTTGCTGTTTTGAGTTATGTCGCCTGCTCGGACAGCAGGAGCAGGCAGCAGCAGGCAGAAGGACACGAAGCACTACGGCTAGGCATGCCTCTGAAGTTTGTGCTTGGCTGCCTTTTGTTTCGCCAATGCCATTGTCCTTGCTGTTGTTATTTAATTCATTTTCCTTTTTTSCTGCTGCTGCTCGCTTCCTACTTATAAAGGCATATCTTGCATCTCTCGGCTCTCAGTGGTCGTCATAAAACGTTTAAAATAATTAAAATATTTCGAGCCACATTTATCACACACTGTGCCAGGGTTAGCTGCTAGCACGAATGTAATGGCAAATATGCCGCATATCCTTTTTTATTTTCGCATTTTCTCTTCACTTTCATTGTTGTTTTTTTCTCTCTCTTCTTCTTCAACTTTTTTTTTTTTTTGGCTGCTGTCGCATGCCCTTTTATAACTAATTCTCTTTGTGTGCGTGTGTGTCCTCGGGGTCTCTATTCTCTCGCATTGTTTTTGGGCCTTTGTATTTTTAGAAACCTTTAAATACAACTCCATAAAGAACAACAACAACAACGAGAACAGCAGCAGCAGCAGCAATCACCGCAAGCAAATCTCACAAATTGGGGTTAAATCTCTGCAGTGCCTGATAAAAATATACGCACACACTTGAAAGATGCTGCCCCCTCTCTGTCTCTTTCCCTGTCTCTCACCCTCTCTCTCTCTCTCTTTTTGTCAGTACGTGCGTTTCTTTTGTTTACCCTTACCCTAGTTTTGCCAGCCCCTTCTCATTGTATTGCACCAAAAAAAAAAAAACATCAACAACAATGAAGAGTGAAAAAAAAAAAATAAAAATAAGAACCAGCTAACAGCTGGTTGCTTGTTGCTGCTGTGGCTTCGGCTTTGGCTGCCCCCAAGCCCCTCGCGCCCCGCCCCTCGTCGGCCCCACGCCCGCTCTACCTCCTTGTGCGTGACAAATGCGCCGTGGTGCTTGTTACTCGTCATGTAATTGCTGCCAGAGCAGCGCAGCATGTGGTGCAACCGAGTTTCGGTCTGCCTAACGTTCTGTGGTTTTTGCGCTCTCGCATATCCTTGGCTCAGCGGCACAGATGCTGAGACATTGAGCACCACCCAATTGGATGAATTTCCCATTATCCACACACACACACACACGCACACGCACACAAAAAGTGCCTTGTAATGCGTGCTAAAGCACTTGAAGTAAACGCTGATCCGCTGCCGATTTTTTGAGAGTCAGAGCCTTTGTTGTGGAACCCTAGCTAGCACTAGCTATGCGTGTGCATTTCTAGAGAACTGCGATGATTGACAAATAAAAATTATGCTTGATGGCATTCGAATCATTTATACTTCGACTTTTCGAATCAGGTAAAACTGAATTTCAGATTAACATAAAGTAGTTGAAGACTGAACTCAGGTGACTCTTCTAAATAAGAAATAGCAAAATTACTAAATTCGTTAATTGTGAACCAATGAATCGATAAATCGATAAATATCGAGCAGAATATATTTGTAAGTAATTTTGTACCGCTCTGTCTGCTTGTTATAAATTTATTTAAGCTGCCTGTAAAGCTATCCGACTCTGAGTATTCTTCAACTTTTTCAAGTTTTTAGATCAATTTTAATGTAAATGTATTAAAGTTGTGTATATAAAAAAAATCTAAATTTTTATATTTTTAATGTTTTTTTTTTTATATAATTAAAAAATTTATTTCCAATACAGTGGCCTTGGAATTTTGAGTTCTTTTAGTTTTTGTTAATTTCCTACGGTCTTTTTTTTTTTTCTTTAATATGAATACAAAATTTTTGCTTGCCATTAATTTAATATTTTACGTTTGAATTTTTCAAAAATTTGTATTGGGTGAAAAGTAATGAGCAGATGAAATGTTTATTTCACGTTGGGTCAAATAAGCTGAGAGCCATTGTATGAACTTTTAAGTAAATTCTGTAGGTTCCCTAAGTTGAGTTGAGTGAGTTTATACAGTTCCGAATTTTGTCTTAGGATTTCTCATATCTTTAAATAAATCATAAGATTTTTATATACCTCTAAATATTTAATCTCATTAATTTTTTTCTATTATCTTGATTTATTTGCTTCAATTTCTTAATTTCAATTTATTGCGTATTTTCTAGCGACCCTCTTTGATCCTGTCATACCTTCATAAACTTATCAAAGAGCAGCTTGCAATATTTCCTTTACATTCGATTCCTTTATTTGAGATTTCTATTTCCCTACAACTTTCTTCCTGTTTCTATTCATTGCAAGCAAACGCATTTGATATTGAACTATAAAAATCTCAGTTAGGGTTTATTGGTGACTTCCTTCATAAATCCATTAAGCCCATGCGCACCGCCATCTGTAGAAAATCCCCTATTTATGCGGCACGCTCTATTTGACTCATCAATCAAATGCCGTTGGCAGACTGACTGGGTTTTCATACCCTACTCATTTTCACACCTACCGCGCATGGATTTTCCATTTGCCGTCTCTCCCCTCCACACTGAATCAATGAATATGAAAGATCTGCTCGGTTCAGTGACCGATCCTAGCGATGTTAACAGCATTGTTGCCCATGAACAATTTGTGCCCGACCCCTCGGCAAATGTGCCATGAAAATATTGTCTAAATATCTGTCGAGGGAGGGATAGAGCCAGGGGCCGGCGTACGGCGTACGGCGTACAGGGGTAGCCTAAATCTTTGTCCAAGCATCCTTGCACTTGGTACAATTTAATCAGTACTGGGACACGCTCGGCATTCATAGGAAATGTAGCTGAAAAATGTCATGCATCTGCATGCATCCCGTCAGTGCTTGCATTGTTATTTAGGGGGTTGCAGCTACCCCTAAGCTCGACCTGCTGCTTGTTTACTTTTGCATGCGGAGGGACCACAGACAGAGAGCCGGGCCCAACGAGTCGGAGACCCTTCATTCCGTTTCATGGACTTTGGGTATTTTATTGACTTTAGCCTCCCCACACGAGCCGCCTAAACAAAAAGGAAAAGCAAAAACCCAAAAAAAAAAAAAAAAAAAAAAAAAGAACACGGAAAATTTTCCTAAAAAGATTTTCCCTTTCGGACCGCTTATCTCGCCTGTCGCTCCATCTCCATCTCCATGTCTGTCGCATTGTTGTTAGCCGAATGTTGGAAAATGTGTTCTGTACTCCCGTACATTTTCCTCTCTTGGGCTCGGGCAGTTTTTTTTATCCCTATCCACCCGGGCTAAGTGTAATGCATTGCACTTTGTAGTAGTTGCTGTCGCTGTCGCACACTCGAAAGTGAAATGAAGCTGAAAAATGCATTTGCACTCGCGTATGCAGTTTCTTCTTTTTTTTTTCTTTTCTCTCTCTCCTCACTCGACATAGATGCCAAATGCAATTTTCGGGCAATTTGTCTAGCAATTTTAGCATTTTGCCATTTTTTATTCCTTTGCTTAGTCACGTACTTACCGGATATAAAACTGATCTCGGATAGCATAATCCATTTGACAGCAAAGTACAAATTGATTTTCAGATATTTTCCCACACGGTGGTGCAGCTTAATCGTAACATCTCGTGCATGATCCATTATGGTATCGGGCATATAGGAGAACTGTACGGGCTCGCCAGAGAAGTAGCGTCCACCAATGCTAAAGAAGACTTTGGCATGGACGAAGACCTACGAAGAGATGGAGAGAAAGTAAAATATTTAAGTGATTCAAAGGAGAAAAAGAAAGCTAAGAAAACTAATTCTAAAATAACGTAAGCATTTACTTTAACTTTTATGAGTTTATTTGTATCGGATAGAAAAAGGATTGTAAGATAACTATACATTAAAATTATATTATATGCAGAATACAAGAAACTTTATAAAAGTATAGATAAAAAGGGTTTTCTCTCCTTAATTTGAGTAAGAGAAATTCTAATGTAAACTAAAAGTTTAACTCAACCTTTCCGACTGCCCCGAAACATCAATAATATCCTTTAATAATGCCTTCAAGCCCGAATTGCCTTCATAAATCATATGGAATAGGAACGTCTTTGGACTCACCTGCACATCCTTGGTGTACATGTTGTTCGTATGCAAAATGATGGCGCTGAAATTGCGCACCGTATCGAATTCGAAAACAATTTCAACGGGTTTACCCATCAGGCCGGGCGTATCATTTCTCCAGCCAATCCATTCATAGCCTAGAAAGAAAAAAAGTCAAGCAATAAAATATCATATATGATAGTATATTTCAATGAAATGTATCATCATTCTGTGGAACTAAGGTTGTTATTTCCCCCACAGCAAAAGGGCAAAAAAAAAAAAATCAATAGGCCAACCCGGCGGCAGGCACATATGCTTCGGAGTGGCATGTAAAGCTATTTAAGCCAACCAAGTCAATCGCACTTTGGGGTGAAGTTTTTCGTAGCCCAAAAAAAAAACAAACAAATGCGCACGGCAAAGCCCCACATAGTGGGTGGGTTGAGGGCTGCGAAGGGGAGGGTGCTTCGTAACTAGAAATTATGGCCAACGCGACATTCAAGCCATTTCTTTCCACTCTTTCTGCTCGCATGCCCCTAATTTGGGCAGCTGCCCGGCGTGCTCAGAGAGTGAGAGCGAAGCTAACGTGCACGGCTTAACTTAGCTTGGCTACCCCAGGAAACCCATTCAAGTTACGCTGCATAAGTCATGCAATATTAGCTGCAGTCGACTATGCTAACAAGCTACGAAATTGTACAATTTCAATCTAGCTGCGTGTCCACATATCGATGGCAAATTACGCCAACTGCCAGGACATAATAATCGTATCGAAAATTGCCATTCAATAGTCAACGATGAATAATGAAGGTCTGGATTTTGAAAAAATAATGCGCTAAAAACTTTTACACTAACACTGCAATGTTTGTGTGTCTGTCTGTCTGTGTGTGTGTGTGTGTGTGTGTGTGTCTATGTCTGTCTGTCGCGACGACGACTGCATGTCTAATTGTCTGTGCGAACTTTTCTACTTAAATTCGCACAACGCAAACTTTTCAATAATTTCGATTATTGGCCATTCGCCAAAGCGCCAGCCAAATGGCAAAGTGGGATAAGTGTGAACGGGTATGTCCAACTGCGTAATACTCGGTCGAGCAACAGGCAGATGTAAAAGCAGAAAATGTTTAATAGACTTTAGATTATATGCGGGGATACTATTGAGTACTGAATCTACTCAACATTCTATGTTTTGATTAGAGCAAAGTCTAGACCCGGACAAATGTGAGTATTGATAGATATCTTAGATTAGATTGGACGAAAAAATTTACTCAAATATTGCGGTATTATGAAACAACTCTGATCGTAAATACAGTAGGATACCTATAATTCGAAATAGCAAGGGGATAATTTTTTGTTTTTTGTTTTTTTTTTTCGATTTACACAGAATTATAGAGAACGAATTTCTTTCAAAAAGATCGATTTTTTCGATTAATCGCAAGTTTTCGATTTAGCGGGTTACAAATTATCGAGACTCGACTAGGCTAGCTCTACCCACACTCTAGAAATTCATATAGCTCGCTCAGCCTAAAATTTTTTGAGTTAACCAGTTCAGTTATAAACAACTATTGTATCATCCATAGCTTCAAGTAATATATTCAAATATATAAGTCAACGTTTTCCTGTAGAGCTGGCTATAAAAGATCTGATTCTATTATATCTAGTTATATATCTAGTTCTATTATATCTATATCACTCAAATCTATAATCTTAAGAGCCAACAAAAAAGAATTCTTGAATTATATCTATCCACTTACAACCAATATACTCCACTTCACGCCGCTACACTCAGCGGAAATAAATAGTCAAATATGGAGAGTGAGTGAGCAAGAAACGGCACAAGTTGAGAAAAAATCGAGACTTGTGCAAATTCGCAGTTTGGCAGTTGTGAAGTTTTGCAGCAGCCACGGCGCGCCGGCAGCGCGGAAATGAATGCCAGTGTTGCCATAAATTATCAAATATGCATAATGTTTACATTTTTAGAGGCGCGCATAGTTCACAGGGTGGCTCAGTTCACTTCAGTTCAGTTCAGTTGGGTTCGTTTCTGTTTGGTTTCGGTCGGACTGAGTGCGTTTTCTGTTTCCGGCCAAGTTTGGCTGCGACGCCAGCAAATAGTCCATAGTTATTATTATTTATTTTTGTTTATTGTGTTGCGAGGCAAATTATTTGCTAGCCCCGAAACTTTTGCCTGGCTATGGCTCGGCCACGCCCTTGAGCATGAGCCGCCTAGCCGCGCCCCCATTTGGAGCCCACAGACGATGCTCAATGAAGTGAACTTTCGGCTCGGTCGCCCTGTTTTGGAATTTGCCTTATGCTTTTTGCTGTCGGTGAACTTTTGTAATTATTTGATGTTAATCAGTTTTTTTCCCATTGCAATAAATCTTGGAGTGTATGTGTGAGTGTGTGGGCGATTTCAGCAACTAAAAACAGCCCGATTTTTGGGCTAAATATATGGAGAAAGTTTGCAACGTGTTTATGTAGATGGTGAACCTTAAAAAAAATAGCAGACCCCAGTGAACTTTTAGCCATCGCAAGTTTGCCAAAATACACAAAAGGTTTAACTTTTCCTTTTTTCTTTTTTTTTTTTCTTTATATAGGTTTTAATGAGCGAGGTGCGTCTAAGTGAAATATTTGTTTATTTATGTGTCTGATGCAAATTACTGCATTTGCAATATATATCTTTGTAAGCTTTATGAACGAAACTTTTTAGAGTCCAAATATGCAAGAGGATGCTAACTGAAATTGTAGTTTCATTTAGGGTGTTTAGAAAGTAGAATATCGTTCACTTCACAAAGATAATGGAATATTGAAGAATCCCTTGCAGCACTAACTATATTACATATAATACGGAACTCTTTTCAAAATTTAATTCGAGTAATTAAATTGAGTCTTTAATGTGTTTGAATTGACTCAAGGCTATACAAAAATGTTTAATAATTCAAAAATAAAGCGCTGTGAGAATATTTATTACTGATTCATAGTTAAGATGTAGATGAATACGTTATCAAGACATCAAACAAGATTTGGAGGAAAATCTCTTTAGACTCAAATTATAAGGAGCAAACTAATAGAAGATATTTTCTTTATAGTTGCTTAAGTTTATATATGTTTATCATAATTTTTCGGGCTCTTAATCATTGATAAAGTCTATGACATGTATAATGAATTTAAATTCTAATATTAAATTTTTAATTATTGTTTTGTTATAATTAATTGAAAATTCTGTGCGAATTTATACTCTTACAACATATTTTCTTTGATTAATTTAATGCCAAACCACTTTTTTTGAAATTTACTATATTTGAATTTTATTTAATTTATTGTTGTCTTTTTGTTTACTAAGTGGGAATCTTATTAAAGTTATTGCTGTTTTTTTTTTTTAAGTTTAAATTTTAGAGCTCTTTAAATATTATAATTTGAGCATATTTCTTATAAGATTATTAAAATTCTGTATTTTTATATATTTATAAACTTATATATGAATATAAANTAAAATATATTTAGAAACTTATATATAAATATGATATTACTTTTTAACATGGTCAATATCGACTTACCTTTGCCAAAGCCATGTATATCGGTGCGGAAATTGTCCTTGCCCTTCTGTCCGTCCACCAATTGACCCAGGCCGTCGACATAGCGATCGCCCTGCTCATTGCCATCGTAGGTCTTGTCCGACAGATCCACCTCCATGCCACGCTGCACGCCCTTGGGTATGCTATACGAAACAATGCCCTCTGCAAAGAATAAATGAAAAGGAGAATTTAATAAAGCGACGCAATTCGTGGAAAGAAACCAAAACTTGAAAACCTTCTTTCTAAGGCAACATGAGACGCCTACACGTGCATTGAGACATAAACATATATCATGTATAAGGAAATGTACTATATATATATTCGTTCTGTCTCACATCACGTCATGTCACGAGTCGTCACGTTTCGTGTCACGTGACACAGACAAACGAGTGACAAAGCCTCGAGTTGGGTTTTTAAACTGCGGTAAATTTTAAAGTTTTTCCCCCACTGTGCAAAAGCTGGCAACAACTTTTTGTAGGGGCTGAGCGGGGACGGAGTGGGGGTTGAGCGGGGACTGAGTGGGGGTTGAGCAGGATATTGAGTTACTTGAAACATAATTTCGTTTTGCGGCCACTTTTGTCTTTTGTCTGCCATTTGGTTTCTGCGGTTATTTTTAGCCCGAGTGCGGATTGGGGGAAGTTTACAGTTTACAGTTTTCTGAATTGGGGACTTCAATGTTGCATGTGTGTCTGTGTGTGTATAAACATATATATATATTTGGCTATAGTTTTTCAATGTCAAAGTCACAGCGGCTGACACACAACAAAAACAACTGAGTCATGGTTTTCGTGGCAGAGTTTATAAAGTGTTTTGATGTTTGCCCAAGGATTGCGACAGCTTAAATACAGAGAGCGAAAAAAAAAACAACAACTTGAACGTGTTAGCTAAGGGCTTAAAGAACAAACAACACCTGACGCTAATTACCGGAGAGATAAGTATATACAAAACAAATACAGTTGTATCGACAAAAAAAAAAAAAAAAAAAAAAAAAAATGAAGGGAACAGGAACAGGAGCAACAACAATTGCTCGGGTTGCCAGGGCACTCACTCTAATTACACACAAAGCTCAGGCAGGCTAGACAGCGGAGAGAGAGAGAAAGAGAGAGAGAGCGAGGGGAGGGTTGTCTGGCTAATTTACTAGCGTTTCTATTTGGACAGTTGAGCTCGTGGCACAAGCCAGGACACACGACTTAGATAGATAGACAGGACATGGCAGTCAAAGGCATTTTCCAATAATTACCAAAAATCACATAATTATACATAATTACGAGGCGCAGGTTAGACGCATTGAACGCAGTCAGACAATTGAGCAGAGCGGAAGGAGGAAGGGAGGGAGGGAGGGGGAGGGAAAGGAGTGGAGTAGTTGCAGAGCAGCCTGAGTTTCATATTAATTATTATTTAATTTATTTATAATGTGTGGGCAGTTAAACAACAACAACTACTACAACAACAACAACAACAACGAAATAAAGTATAAAAGCAACGCCACGCTTAATTACAGAAATTAGGGCAAAGTCCTTGTCGGGGCCACTTAAGCGCAGAGGCCGAGAGATAAGCCTTCATTAAACGACACATCCACATATACATGTACATATCTACATATATGTATATACTATATAGTATATGTCGAATAAAAAGGCATATGGGTTATTTAATTAACTGCAAAGACATTTAAGGCAGCGCGTTTTACAATTGCGTCGCGACATCTTTCACGCAATGCCCACATGTAGCCATCGGCAGCCCCCTTCCGCCCTTCCGCCCTTCCCGCCCCCCTCGTCGCTTTTGGCTGGAGCCTTTGGCCACGGTTTGGGGCCACATCCACTTAAGCCCTGTTATTCGCGTGCTCACATGCGATTTTTATTTGCGTGTCGAGTGAGCGAGAGACAAGATGGAAACTGCCCAAAAACAAAATAAGGAAACAAAACGTCGTCCTCGCAGTGCGTGCAGTGGCTGGAGAAAACAAGCCAAAATCGAGCGACTACAATACACTCTATATATATACATNTGAGGGTGAGGGGGTGAATTTAAGGGTGGGGGGTAAATTTTAACAAAAACCGAAATTGTATAAATTGCATATAAGCATACATTAAAAATTTGGAGACTCTAGCAATAAGGGTGTAGAAGATATAATTTTATAACTGGTTTTCGATAAGGTTTTTTATCGATAAAAAAAGATCGGGATGAGTTATCGATTTTTAATGATAAACTTGATATGCGCGCTGTAATTACGGACATTTTAAAAAAAATTTGAAGTCTCTAGCTCTTATATCTTCTGAAATCGACGCGTTCATACATACGGACGGACGGACGGACGGACGGACGGACGGACAGACAGACGGACAGGGCCAAATCGACTCAGCTCGTCGCCCTAATCAAGAATATATATACTTTGTGGGGTCTGCCACGCCTCCTTCTGCCTGTTACATACTTTTAACAAAACCATTATACCCTGATTTCCCATTTTCAATGGGTTCAGGGTATAAAATCTGACTAAATGAAACTGAATACAGTTAGCTAAAAATGAAAATCATGTGCATTTAATTGAATATGTTTTTATTTAATTTGAGCAAACAAAAAACAATTTTTTTGTCTAAAATTTAATTTTTAAATAATTAAAATTAAAAAAAAATAAATAAATAAAATTGGCCAAATTTAAGAAAATGTTTTAATATAAAATGTAGAGCTCTCAAAAATATATCAAATATCATATTGATAATTTTTCAAAACTTAAAATATCATCGAAACGATATTTTAAGAAATTTTCGACAATTATAATAATATGCTAGAACACCAAAAAGTTTTACTCTTTAAACTCGGTCAGTCGAGAGGAAGAGAAACAAATATTGACAATTTTATAGTAAAAGCGAATTTTTTCTAAAATTATTTAATTACAGGAATTAAAAATTTTAGTCGAAATGAAATGGAATTAAAGCAAATGTATAGACAGTATTAGTTTAGTCCAGTCCATTAATTGGCTCTGTTTAATAACATAATATATATGACTTTAAAAATGAATTTTTAATGAATAAAATAAAAAATTAGAACTAAAATAAAATTAAAAACTTTTGCTTTCCGTTTCGTATTCTAATGCTGATTATGAAAGAGTCCCACTCTGATCGCCATTTGCAGCTCGGCTTAGCCACATTTCATTTATAAGTCCCATTCGCTTATCAGAAATCTCTTTAATACCCATTTTAGTATATTACACGATTTAATATACGATTTAAATGCCAGCCTACACTCGTTTCTCATTTTCCGTTTTCCACCAAACTATTTCACACTCTTAACTGATACGGCTGCCACAGTAAGCACTCCTACACAAAGACCAACGATTAAAGCTCAGCTTTCAATTTACATAATAACATAACAGCCGCAGCAACAACGAATAAAGAGGGTAAAAAATCGTAGCTAAAGCGCTCATAAATTATGCAGCGCTCATAAATCTGGAGCTCAACGCTAATCAGTTGTTGCATTTATAATAAAAAATAAAAAAACCAAATCAAATGCACTTTAGCCAAGCCGAAATCGGCATTCCAAGGGCTAAGCTGTTGTTAAATCGAAACAAATTTGTATTTAGCCACGATGTGAAATCAGAGTGTGTCACTTGGCCCGAAGATAATCTGCAGCCATGACGTGACCAGAGTCTCGGAGCTCCCTCCCGCCCTACTCCAGTTGGCCCATTTGTTTATAGACGGCGCTTCCAACCTAGGTGCGGTCGTCTCGACCGCTCGCCCGCTCGTCCGTCCCCCTGGCCGTGTAGGTGTGTCCATTGATTTGCATTTAAATGCTGAGCATTGGAAGTCGCGCTGCCAGAATTTATGGCCACAATCTATAAACAATTATGATTTCGAGCTAAATGTCTATCGATCGAGAGCGACGCCGCGTCCAGCGGAGTTTTGTCAATGCGCTCGTCACTTGGCAGCTTTATTGATTTCCTTGTCTGGCACTTGTCTAGACCTCCCATAGCCCACGACAACTTATCTCATTTAATTTGCATATGAAATGCGCTCGGTACATCTAAATTCCCCATAGCAAATCACAATGACTGGCGGGGGGAGTGGAAGGGGGGGGGGGGTCGGTCAGCTTGCATGTCCAATCCCCAATCGCACTGCCACTACCACGGCCATAACCCAGCTCCCTAATTCCTTGGCAGCCATGGCGCTCAACCACTAAAGGGCGTGTGCATAGTTTTGACCCCAACACAAATGGCGCCAGTTATCGGGTGGCGCCCGTTGCCCAACCGTCCGCACCGCCCTCGCACGCCCCCCAACTCTAGCCGTCGTACATTGCGTTAATTTACGGAATAATTTCGACTTCCGCGCTTTGGCTGAATGCCGCTTGCTTCCCGGCCCCAGGAGGAATAGCCCAAAAGCCAACCTGGTTCTGGTCAAACAAATTGACATTAGGCGCGCGCGTTGCTGTTGGTGTTGCTGTTGTTGTTGTTGTTGTTGTTATCGTCGACTACCTGGAAATTATAGAAAAATTTGTTTGTCCAGACTAGTTATAGTTGTTGTTGTTGTCGCCGCTGTCGTTGTTGTTGTTGTTGCTTGTGCACTACTTGACAATTGCGTGCAAACATCGACAACAGTCAGCCAGACGACAGCAGCAACAGCAACAACAACAACAACAACAACAACAACTACAACGAGAACAACTCGCACTGGTTGTTTGCTGTTTTGGCCTGTCGTCTGCATAGTTTCTCAGCCCCGTCTGGATTTCTGGACTTGGTTTCGGTTTCTGGGCATGGGCACAACCAATGTCTGCACGCGATATTTCTTCTTCTGCCACACCATCTTCTCTGCTCTTTTCCTTTATTTTTATTTTGTTCAAGTACATTTCGCATGTTGCAACAAATCAACATTGCGTGGTAGCGCTCATGTGTTGGCCAAATGTAAAGCAGGCAGCGGGTCTCCAAAGGTGAAAGAACAAGAGGAGACACGAAGGAAGAGAGAAAACTTGGCCGGACTAGGAAATGCCCTAAGCTCTGTCGAATTGAGTTTTGTTCCTGTCTAAACATTCAAGTATATGAGCCGACGGACGGACGGACAGACAGACGCACTCAGGTACTGGCGAAGGGAGAGACAAACTGAGGATCAGATAAGCATACGGACTGATGAATCAACGGGCGTACATTCGAATGGAGCGATGATCGGCTGGATGCATAGGAAAAGGGAAAGGAATATGGAAAGAGCAAGATCGACTCAGTTAATATGATGTGGATGAACCCAATCAAGAATGAATATAACTACTTTACAGGGTCTGCCACGCCTCCTGCTTTACATTTCAAGAAAGCCAATACAACCCGCCTTCCCATTTCCAGTGAGTCTAGGGTATACGAAAACGTAGGCGCAGTCATTGCCATTGGATTGGATTATGCGGTTAGACTAATACGCTGACCATAATGTCATGTTTTCCTTCAGTGGAACAACGGCGATAGGGTTCTCAAAAGAGAGAGAGAGAGACTGGGAGTGAGGAAAAAAAAGAGAGAGAGAGAGAGAGAGAGAGGGAAATGGCGATATCGAAGAGGGAATTCACAATTATGGCATTCCATTTAAGGGCGATAACTCGACGAATTACAGCCAATTTCCAGTTAAGTAAGACTTTAAGTGCTTCGAAGCTTAAGCTTTAAGCTAAAGACCAAAGATTTGTTGGAGAATTGAATTTTATGAAAATATAAACTTAAGGCTAACTGGCAGAACTTTGCTATCGCCACACTCGATGAGGCTAAATGACTTAAGCTAATGGCTAAGAGCATGCCAAGCCTTATAGGCAAAAAATGTTCGCATAGTTTGTTGCCTTGGTATGCCGCATCTGAAGCTATGCTAATGCGCACACACACACACACATACACACACACATGCATAGACACTCTCTGCTAACTACACACTTAAGCCGCTTTGGCTGGCCTAATAGACAGCGACTAGGCTCGGGGCCCTGGGCACTCCTTGGTAGGCGGGCATTGGAGCGATGATAAATTAACGCTGACACTAAAACTCTGTTAGCCTTTCCGCGCTATCATTGCTCATGTCGGCTTTTTATCGCACTCGTTTCAATTCGCCTCTGGACAGTAGTAGCAGCAGCAGCAGAAGAAGAAGTACAACGAGATGGGAAAGAGACAGAAGCAAACGACTCACCTTCCCAGGGACAGCCAACAATCTCGGCGCGCAGGCAGACGGTGCGATCGTATTGACCATAGGGATATATGCGTATCTTCGAGGCGAATATAATCGGCTGCAGTGCGTTCTCCACCTCGCTGTACGTGTTGATGTTGCCCGGCAAGATCTGTGGAAGCGAATGGAACGGATTAGGGTTAGGATTCGATTGGGCTTGAAACATAAATCAAAGGGAGCTGAACATCAAGCGGAGGTGGGGTGCTTACCTCCTTGCCCTGTGTGTTCTTCCAGCGCTGCCATTTGTCGAAGCCCGGCCGCCAGTACTCGAGCACATAGTACTCGGTGTACTCCTGGCCCTGACCCTTCCCGAAGCGACCCTGCGTCCGTATGGCGGTTATCACGTGCGTCTGCAGCAAGTCCACCTGCAGATATTCCTTGAGCGCATTCGATACCATATGCTTGGGGCACCAGGCACCGCCATTATTATCGGTTTTCAGTCTGCAAAATAAAGGAGAAAAGCGAAAAAAAAATATATAAAACAACTTTATTAATTAGCCACATGCAAAACGGTAGCTGCGCGCCAATAACCAGTTGCGCAGGAGCTGCGCTCGGCAAAGCAGAAACAAAATTTCTTATAAATTAATTGACATTAAGCGTTCCGCTGGCACTACACGCCGTCGGAGATGGAGCCAGAGTCAGCGCCAGAGCCAGAGCCAGAGAGCAGCCGCAGGCTGTGAGTCAAAGTCAGCTACAGAGTCTTAGCCACACTGACGTTTGTGGCCCCAATGGTAAGAGGGAGGCCGCTGGAGCCTGGGCCGAATGCCGTGCTGGACGTTTGTCTGGCAGCTCGTCTCGTTCGTTAAGCTGCTGCGGTTTTCCACACAGCAGGATGTTGTCTATGTAATTAAGGATTAATTTAAGTTAGACACAGATGTGTGTCCGTGTGTGTGTGTCTGTGTGTCAGGCTCTCTCTCCCTGTCGCCCTCTCTCCCTCTCTCTCTGTCTCTCCCGTTTGCTCTGGCCTACACGCCCTCCCGCCACTTTAATCAATTTCGCCTTCAGCCTCGCTCGCTCCGCCTGGTATTGATATGTTAACCACTACAAATACGTTTTTCGGTTTATATTTCAATTAAGTTTTACATGCTTGATTGCATTTTGGGGCCTTAATGTTTGCCCATTATTCATCGACTGTGACTAGGCCTAGACCCCTCTGCTTGACTCCAAGCAGCAGCAGCAGTTGTTGTTGTTGTTGTTGTTTTTCTTGTTGTTGTTTCTTTGCAAATTGCTTCATTTTCTTGCCACATCTGCCGGCTGCCGGCTGCCGTCTGCCGTCTGCTAACTGCTGGCTGTACCTGTGCCAGCAGGTTATTGAATTTGATTGCAATATTTATTTAGTGGCCGACATGCGTTTAATGCATTTTTGCAATTTGTTATTTATTTACACTAATGTGTGTGTGTGTGTGAGCAATTAGTAATATCTTCCGCATCAATTGAGCGGCTTTGGCAATTCTCTGTCTCTGTGTTTCTGTAGTCATCAACTCGTCCTTATTGTATATTAATTGCGATTCTGCTCCGACTCTTGTCACGGATATTTAGTGATGCTATGACTAACAAGGAGTTGGAGTCATATTATAGTAAAATAATACCCTTTCTACTAAATGAACTATCATATTATGAACAATTTCTATTTTGGATTATAAATATAGTTAGATAGTTAATTCAAAAAGTTAGTCTATAAGTCTGCAAGTCTGTTCCTAAAAATCTTTATTGTTTTAGGCTAGTTGCGCATCTAGGGGATATCAGCTTTCTCGATCTATATAAATAATACGGGTTGTTGTTTATCTCCAGAGCACAGTCAATACAATATCCCGCCTGACCAACTTAGAATCTTGTATTGAATTCAAATGTCTACTGCGTGCATCAGAATCACCCTTACCCCAAAACATATATGTATGTATATAGGCTTCGACTAATATTTAGTTCAAATTGCACGCTCTTTCTTTAATATTTTATTTTCTATGGCAAATCATATGGTACTTAGCTTCCAGTGGAAGTTCCTTCCTCATGACTTTTCAATTTCTTACTTACACAAATACATGCAACCAATATACTCTGCTCATTCAATAAAGAAGTAGTATACTAAGAGCCACTGTAAACACCCTTTGCTCCCCTGCAAGCACTACCATATATTCTCTCAATAGACCCAGAGCAAATATCGTTTGCTCTCATTCACACACACAACAGCGAATATACCCTGCTCACTCAATAAACGAGTGGTATACTATCATATCATATAACACAGACACTCTATACTCACTCAATAAACGAGCATAATCAGTGTCTGTAAAATTACCTTAAATACTCTACTGCATAATGCTCTTCATTCCACAGACAGTGCCCAAGAACCAATATACTCTGTTCACTCAATAGACAAGTAGTATATAAGACTATGAATACAGACACTCACACAATAAACGAGCACAATCAGAGTCTCTAGAAATGCCTAAAATTCTCCATTGCTCAAATTCTTTTTAATTATTGTTCTTACTTTGCTCTGCCACGAACCAATATACTCTGTTCACTCAATAGACAAGTAGTATATAAAAGTATGCCCTAAATGCTTCATTGCATAATATTCTTGCTGGCCGCAAGCACTGTGTGTGGCTTATAACACTTGCCGGCCATTACCAACTGCAATTACTTTTAAGTGCAGAGATCAAAGTTGCTTTATTAAAAAAAAAAAAAATGAAAAGAAAACCCAAACAGAAGAGAAGATGAGTGCAAAAAAGAGAAGAAAAAACCAAAACTGAAAGAGCTCCCAGAAAAAAGGTCAATTTAATCATCATAAAATTGCTTAGATTTCCTTTGGACCGCCTCCTCGCTGGAGCAGTAGCGCGCTCTTGTGCAAATAAGCCAAAGGCAGAGGAATCGGAGTGAGATACGTATAAACATCATTTAAAATGCTAATATCCGCAGTTATGTGCATTTCAACTTGACTTTAATTATTGTTATTGCCAAAGTTAACAATCTGCCCCGTCGTCGGCTGCTCATTTCGAGCGGCTGATGGACTGACTAACTGCTGCCTGCCGGGCACTGGACTCCGACTTGGACTCGGACTGGCTCTGGCTTCTAATCAAGCGCACTCTCTCTCTCTCTCTCTCTCATTCCCTTTTCTGCTGTTTTTTTYTTTTTTTTTTTTTTTTTTAATATGAAAGAGGTTGTAAATTTAATGGCCCCTCGGCTGTTGGTCGCTGGGCGAGGTAATGAAAATCAAACAGCGCCAACTGTCATTAAACTAATCTTTGTAATTCAATAGCAACAGACGACGACCAACATGGACAACATCGTCGTCGTCATCGTCGTCAACGTCAACAGCATCAGCATTCATGTTCGCATCCTGTTGGCCCTTCGGATCTCTCACAGATCTCTTTGGGTCCATTGCTCAGTAAGCAAATGCGCGTGATTTGTTTTAAGTGCACTGCTTTTTTTTTACTCTTCCTCTGCTTCTTCTTCTCCCTCCTCGTTTTGTAATGAATTAGTTTAAGTTCGTTTCGAGCTGGTGGCTTTTGGGCTAGTTAGCTGCCTGGTTAGCTAAGTGCACGGCAGCCACAAATTATAATGCTGCCTGCACTTTTGAACTTTGCAGCATGCAGAGCTCTGGCTGGCTGGAACTTTAGTTAAGCAAATTGCACTGCGCTTGATTGGACTTGCTGGGTGGTTAAAGAGTCACACAGAGAACGAGAGAGAGAGAGAGAGAGAGAGAAAGAGAAAGAGAGAGAAGGGGGTGGGCGAGCAACACGGAAGAAAAAGACAAAAGAAAGTTTCAGCTAGTTTGAAGAGTTAGTTGATTTCGCGCTGCAGCAGTCATTGGATTAAACCCAACTCGAGTTGGTTGAGGTGAAAGGCTGCCAAGGCAACTTGGCCTTACCAAGAATTCTGCACAAAAATTTCAGATTCAGCAAAGGTAGGCAAACAGTAAAGCAAAAGTCTTTCAATTTCAAGTTGAGCATGTCATTATTTTTGGAAAATATTTTTAAGTACAATAGCTTGCGCTGCTTGAAAAGGAAGAAGCTTCAGCTTATGAGAAGTCCATAGTTTTCATGTTAAATCATAGAGTCATAGAGTAATTCGCACCTCCAATATATGTATATGAATCAGTTAATATATTGTAAT